TGAAAGATGCAAAGATAAACTGTATATGTTGAAAGACAAAAAAGCTCTAAAAAGAGCTTTATTTCTCATATTTGGAGTGACCTTGACCTTTGACCTTGACATAATCTTCAAGGTCTAGGGTTAAAGAATCTAATGCAGTTGGTTTCATGTATCTACGACTTATCATTTTGAAAATTTTTCATTATTTGTAAACTGCAAAAACTTTCAGGGGCAATAACTCATAAAAGGGCTCAACAAATCCTTTTGTAATGAATAGATTGAAAAGTCTTCTCAATTAGTCGAAGACATTGGTGAAGTTTTCGTAACTCTACGGTTTACGGTTTCGGAGGAGTAGCGATAACAAGGTTTCTAGTGAAAGGGGCAATAACTGCGAAAGGGGTCATAGGTTATACGCGTTGGGTCAAATTTGTTCATAACTTTTTATGACCTTTACGATGAACAAAAAGTCTTTTCGATAAATGTCGAAACAAAAAATCAGCGGAAGAAAAATAATAATAAGAAGAATAAGAAGAAGAAGAATAATAATAATAAACAGAAGAAAATCAATAGGTCTTTCCACAGAAAGGTGGAAAGACCTAATAAGCACCAATCTATACGTTAGTTAACGCCAGTTAGGAATTTTGCTTTTCAAATTGTCTTTTGCCTTCTAAATGGGCATTAAAAATTTGGACTACGTTGATGGTCTCATCCTAGGACCAAAGTATCTTGATAAAATTGAACATGAGTCTGAAATATCTGAATTGACTTAAATTATTTGGTTGGAAAAAATTTAATTTCAATCCTGATTTTAGCACAACATTAACCAATGCAGGGACCATAATTTGAAAAAAAACAAACTTTGTGCATAAGTTTGGAAAGTTATAAAGTTAGGCATACAAATTATACTTTGAACATTCTGTGATATACAGCGTCGCCCGCATGGCGCAGTGATTAGAGTGTCTGCTCCAGAGTCGTGGAGTAAGGAGTTGATCCTTATGTCGCGGATTCGAATCCCACTGAAGAAAGTGGAGATCGGTCTTTTGGATGAGACTGTATAAACGGAGGTCCCGTGTCGCAGTAGGTGCTGGCAGGAAAAAGATCTCTCACTGTTCAATGGCCGTAAGTGCCGAGTATAGGACAAAATTTGCAGCTCTCCACCGGCAAGTGGTGGTGTTTCTATATGAGTGAAAAATACTAGAGATGGACGTTAAACAACATACACACAAACAGAACAGTATACAGCAATTCCAGATACAAACGGCTGCAAATAAATTTGCGGGATACAACATTCCCGATTAGAGGACATTTTTGCCAAATGAATTAAATTTATTAAAAGGATCCTAAAGTTGGTATTGTATTAGACAAGATTTTGAAATTCACATTATCCAGAATAGACAAATTAAGTTTGGCTGTACTTCAAAAGAATGTTTTGTCCCGGCTTTCGTTGAAAGTGGGGGATATTAATTTTCTTCTGTCTATCTTTCTGTCTGTCAATCTGTATTTCTGTCTGTCTGTAACACTGTCGTTTTCAATTTTGCTGAAATTTTATATCTCTCTATTCCTATAGCCTAAGGAAGTCCCCTATTGATTTTGAGGTCAAACAGTCAAAGGTTAAGATCTTAAATTCATACATTCTTTGTGTGTGTAAACCTTTCATTTCAAGGCGATATCCCAAGAAGCTTTTGAGTTTTTGCAATTAAATTTTATATCATAAATCCCTATAGCCCTGCCTGCCCTTCTTTAAGTGCCTCCCTCAACCCCAACCCCCTAGATCTGCGCATGCTCTACTTTTTTGCTTAAGGGGGGGGGGGGACAAAGAATTAGCTTGTTTAATCATCTATATACCGTCGATCTTCGGTATCTCAAACACTGATTTCTCAAATACCATGGATATGTCAAAGTGATCTGGAAGTTCCAATAACTTTTCCTTAAGTATTTTACTCTGGATATCGCGAACCCTAAGATATCTCGAAGTTTTTTCTCGGTCCCATCATGTTTGAGATAACGAGGTATGACTGTATTTCCATGAAGATATTAGTTATTGGACTGTGAAAAATTAAGGATGACACACAACATACAAGCAGACAGACACCAGACACTCTGAGCTTTGATCAGAAAAGCTCAACTGATCCTTGGGCTCCATTGCACTAAAAATGGCAGTTTTAAATTAAGTATCATAAAATTATGTAATTAAGGATGACAAAATATTTCTCTCTCTCTTACCAAATAAAACATTTTTAAAACATGTCACATTTAATAGGGAGGATAATGGTTGCAAGTAAACACACACTCATTTTCTAGTGTAGCCATGAGAAGTTTAATTTTGTCTTCCTTCAGGGATAAGTAATGCCCATGGCAATAACCAATTCTTCTGAAGTAAGAAATAAAATACATGGAGACATTTAAATGAAAGAGTTATGGCAATTACCAGTGTGATAAAAATATATGTATATACAAGAGACCCAAGGACCTTAACGGTCACCGTATAATGTAATGATCTAAAGATTAAAACAAAATAAGCTGATAAATAAAATGAAATTCACAATTTTTGTTTCCCTTTACCCAAAGATGCTATATGCCAAAACTGGTGGAAATTGGTTGAGCAGTTTTAGAGGAGAAGCTGAAAATGTTCAAATATTAATGCACAACATCTGACAAAAAACAGAAAACAAAACCAGAAAAATATTTACTCTTGTGGTAAAATGCATGAAAAAGATGAACTTACATTATTGATTTAGGCTTGAACACTCCAAATTCTTCCAGAATCAATGCATGGAATTCCTTCAAACCTTATAGATCAAATACAATATTTTATGTCTTGTTCATATCTGTTCTGAAATAATTTTATCATATATAACAGCATATTTGATATATATATATATATATATATATATATATATATATATATATATATATATATATATATATATATATATATATATATATATATATATATATATATATATATATATACAATGTATATGTAATGTTTTTAGTTAAAAATCTCTATATAGAGAAACTAATTCCATATAATTGATGTAAGCTCCTCTGAAAAATATTAACGGTCATCTGATTCTACTATTGACTGGCAGAGAGAGTCTTCCTAGATTTTTATTCTGATTAAAAGTTTGATTTATTATGATGTAATAATATCCTCACAAAAACATGAAACCACTCTATAACTTTCCTGTAGCTAAGATAAAAACAACTGTCAATGAGGAATTGTGAATAGCATAAAGAACATTTTTTTTTATCACCAACTCATTTTAAAAATACCTTTGGTTTATATCTTGGGAATTTCTTGTTTTCTTTTTTTTCATTTGAAGGTAGTTGATTGAATTAAAAACTGATAACCTGTTTTGATAGAATTTATAATGATACCTTTCCAAAAAGTTTAGCTCTCTCCTCAATTCCCTTCTAAGAATTTCTCATTTCTAGGGCTTCATTCAGTGGCTGTCTTTTAATCCATCTGACATGCCTCGAATGTGGTTCATAGCAGCTTTAAATAATAGAACAATTAAAAATTATCACCTTGCTCTTCCATTTAATTCAATATTTATGACAATTTGGCCATAAAATCTTTGTTAAATGCAAAGAAGAGTGCACTGGTAATTGATTAATGATTTTGATACCAGTGTTAAATAGTTTATTACTCTTAATTCCAGCTCTTTTTATAAAGGGGGTGGGGGTGGGGGGTGTAGACGGTATTTTCCATTGAAATCTGACTTGAAAGCATCAGCTTATTTTAAAATATTCTTGGACATGGATAAATGTTCCTGAAAACTTTTCTTATGTTTTAAGCATATAGAATACAACATTTAAGATGTAAATCCCTTCAAAATTTGTGAGAAGATGAGCATTTCTGTTGTTTTTTGACTTTAAACATATGCCCCCCCCCCTTGTGAAACACAAAGAGCTTTGGTATGAATTTGTGAAATAACAATCCATATTAACTGTAAAAAGGAAATTTTGTTTCACAGGGGGGGGGGATGTTTTAAAAATATTTTCCATTGATTTCTATAGTGAAAAACACAAGTTTTGCCAAAAATATAGAGTTATCTTTCTTTGTTTTCCAAAAAAAGTAATGTTTCATGAAAATTCATAAAAATATCAATATAATATGAAAAATCATTCAAATATGTTAACTTTTCGTAATTGACTTGGAGGTAGGCAGGAGAACAATACTATCGTTCGCAGTTCTTTGTACAGTGCCTAATATTTTCTAAATTACCAAAATTTTCTAGTTTAAAAAATAACCCATCCTCTGGTCACTTATAATCTTTGAGTGAAATATATGGCCATACAATGTTTCAAACAATGTTATGGAACTGACTTTTAGTTTACACCATAACTTTCTACCAGTGTACCACCAAAATATGCATAGATGAAATATTGCCGACTCGAGGTAAATCAACAATAATCAATCAATCAATTTACCAGCAACATTGAACTTCTGACAGTGACCTTGATTCAGGACTTACTTTCAGATGTCTAAAGTTTCAACTTTTGATAATTATGTATTAGAGAGTAATAAATTCATACTTTCCCCCTTCCACCCCAAGGTCATGACATGATCGACTGATTAATTGAATGGTGTTTAACATCCCATTTGAGAATTTTTCTCATGGGACGTTATGACACATCCTCAGGTAATAAACAATCTTTGTACCAAGTATGACCTTCAAATGTCAACAAGTTATGACATGGACATAATTGCACAGACAGATCGATAACTAGGCAGACAAGTGATTCCTATATGTACCCCCAGAACTTTGTATGATTAAATTAATTAAATCATTGAGCAAATTTGCATTTGAAAGCCATTGGCAGCTGAAATCATCAAGTCTCCTTACTTTGAATTACCTTCTTTTAATCCAAGCACCTCTTTTAGCTTTGCCTTGATGTGATCATCAAACTGTAAATCCATGAATTTTTCATTATTAAGATGGTTCATGTAAAGTCCAAACCAGTTGTTATAAATTTGCTTTTGAGATTTACGTACCATAACTGATATCTTGTGGCCCAATATGTTTGCAGTTCCTTTTATCAACACTCTCCCTGGACATAACTGGCATAATGCATTCACAAGCTTCTTACACTGTTCAGTCTACAAATGAAAACCAGTGTAAAGGATTATTGCATACACTGAATGAAAGATATACAATGGTTTCAGCCTGGGTATGTTTGTTGGTAGAGCACCTAACAAGTGATTCAGGGGTTCCGAGTTAAATTCCCAATACAGCCATACATTTTCTAACTCCCTATTATAAACAAATGCTACTTGAAAAAAAAATTATTCAGCCCCACTCAATGTATTATTTTACAACACACAACGAAAAAACATGCAGTTCTACCTTGTGTTGAGCATTTATGAAGATATTAATAGCTATTTCCTTATTTGTAGATTTATCAACCTGAAGGCATTTGAAAATGCATATTTAATGAAATAAATATAAGCCCCCCCCCCCCCCCCACACACACACACTTTTTGGGCAAAAACACATATATATTTACTCACATGAGCTTGCACACTCTCATAAAGCCAAGATACACTGTCTGTTAATGACTGGTCTGGAGATGTGTCTTGTTTTCTTGACTTCAGACATGGTGCATATCTGGACAAAAAAACAAAATAGGTATTATAGCTGACAAACTGGAGTATGATCCTTACCTGCTACATGATGTAATATTTACTCATACAAATTTCTTTTCCACAAATGTATTTCTTAATACCCATTTATAGAATTTTACTTTGGGCTTCTGCAAAGCTGTATACTTACAGTAGAAATATATTGTAATTTAAATTTCTTACAGAAATAAGAATGACATATTAGCTGTACACAGTTATTGAAACATTGAGTTCTATAATAATACAATCACTTGTTATTTGCATGAATTTTATTTTGCATAGCTTATGTTCAAAATTTTCATTAATATGTCTAAGAATTGTACTGATTTAAATATTATACACAGCAGTGAAAAATATTTTGCATAACTTATGTTCAAAATTTTCATTAATATGTCTAAGAATTGTACTGATTTAAATATTTATACACACAGCAGTGACAAATATTTGTAATTTTTTTATGACTTGTACTTACAAAAATAATCTCATGAAAATAATGTTTACGGATCACAATTAAAGTGTTTTATAGGGCTCCCACATTTCAATGGAGGGCCCTGATTATAATAATTATAAAAATTAAAGTAACATACATAAAATATTTAAATGCAAGCATGCACAAACAACAAATTCTTTTAAGAACATCGGGAGAATTCTCTCCCTGTTTTTCAAATCCATACATGAGATCAAACAACCTGAAGACATGTATACAATACATGGATAACACTATTAACCGTGCATTAAGACTTATACTCAGCAAATAAATACCTATTATAACAAATTCAATATAATCCCATCTATCACTTAATCTATCAATTAACACAAGTTACAAAAAGAAACCAGCCCATTCTTAAACTTGAAATTTTCCCACAAATTCTAATAAATCATTCAACCTTTTCAGATGTTCTGGAGAATAAATGAAGAAAATGAATGGATATATACCCTCTGGATACCTGCATTGATTGATTAAAAATTTTGACTTAATTTGACTTAATTAGCTGTAACACATATTTTGAAGGAGAATTACACTTGAATTAATTGACAACTTGGGAATGTTCGCAAATTAGTGAAATAAAATTGTATCCCCTTTCTTGGCCCAGATAAGTTTGAAATCATGTCTTTCCAAAGATTTGTCAAACAGGTGAAATCAAAATTGAATTTAAGCAGAGATTATTCACTCTGAACCAGAATTTTTTTAACTTATCACTCTCATGCTAAAACTTTTGTACCTTCCCCTTAAATCGGGATATATGTATGAACTTCTCTTCTTTTCTGGAAGGCAATCATCAAGTAAATAAGTATATGTGTGTATATGTATGAAAATAAGTCATTTTTAAAGTGAACTATATGAATGTTTTAAGACTTGCCATAAAAAAAATCTGTAGAAAGTAATATTCCACTCTATGAAGACTTACTGTGAAAACACTTATTTCTGTGAGCCCCTTTTTTTGTTTTTGTGCAAGAATTCATTAACCCACAAAATTTTGTAACTTTGTGTTTTGTAACTTTGTGTTCCAGTTACAATATGAAATCCTCGTAAAAACAACAAAAAATGAAGAAGAGAAAGTACTGTATGTGTACATATAAATTAGGGATGTGCGATTTTATCGGTAAACCGGTATATCTTGATTTTTAATTGTGTGATACGTATCATGATACGGAGATAAAAATACCGGTATTTAGGTACATTGTTAAACATTCCAGAAATTATTTATTTTTTGTTCAATCTTTCAAATTACAATTTCAGGAAGTGTAAAGAATGTTGAAAACGAACGCGACAAAGAACGACATCCTAGTATCCAAAATTGTCCTAGTATCCAAAATTGCTTGATATTACATAAATAAAAAATGAAAAAAGTTGAAGTTATGTTTTTCTGGCATATTTTTGGGAAAAAATATTAATATTCATCTAAAATCATTGTAAAATTGCTTGTAAAAATATCATGATATTATCGTGATATTTTAGGGGGAAATCGTGATATATCGCAATACGAAATTTTTGGCGATACCCATCCCTGATATAAATTGACGTATTCAAATTTAGTGCAATTACTAGGTATTCAACGGTTGGCATAATCATGAATTAGCTCTTAACATGTCCAAACCATGTATTGTGTTTATTAATGATTTATTACCGGTATTCATGAATTAGCGCATTGACATCCGCGCCAAAGATGCTAACATATGAAGCCCGCTTTTTTAAGTACACACACAGTAAGTAATTTTAAAGTTACATGTACTTTCAATGATTTACCTTCTGGGGGTCTTTTCTTAAATTGTATTCCAAGCTGACCTTAAATGAAAGAGACAAAACAATTAACAGTATATTCTTGCATCTGTTTACATGCACTCATTCAGAACTTTTATTTCTTGGTACATTTTCAAGAAAAAATGATGAAGTATCTGCTACAAAATCAGGCATATTTGGTTATACAATCTAAATTTCTGTACATATACAGTCACATTTTCCCTTTTAAGACTGTTTTAGCATTAAATGTGATTGCATGGACTTAAAAAACATCATTTAATACAATATTATTGTGTTAGAAAATTGCATAAACCTTATACCAATACCGGATCATACATGATAATTTAAGTAAACGAATTAGATTAAATAAGACTATATATAACTGAACAATGAAGCTGGGCTGAAGTTTTAATAGTAATTGTTACGGATTTCCTAGTCCAAATTCAAATAAAAAATAATACTTTGTTTTGGTTTTGCGATTGGTCATTATTCTCTTCGACAGCAGGATGCAGGGAACATCCACATGTTGCATGGAAGTATTTTTTTTCTTTACAAAGCCTACAGCGAACCTGGAAAAGGAGAGCTTATTATAAGATATTAATTGTAACAGTTGCAAGGAAGGAAAGCACAACTAAGCCCCCGTTCACACATAGACGCCGCTTCTACTACGATCAAAGCGTGGCCGATCGCGAAAAAGGTGTCCGATCGTGACAAATCGCAGGAGAAACGCAGTGGAGTCTTAATAAACGCAGTATGATCGCGGTAGGGTCTTCATGATCGCAGAGCTCTACACTTAGGGACATATCTTCATGTTAAATTTATCTTGTGACTCTCCATAGAAGATGGAGTATTACCGAGTTTTGTTCTGGACTCTAAGCTGGTACAAACTACAGGTAGGTTGGAGAAACTCTCTTTGATCTGATATATATTTTTATTGCCAAATAAATCCTGTATGTTTCAATGACAGGTACATTTAGGGAGTATATTTGGCAGGGATCTTATCTGGTACAAAATACAGGTAGGTGGGAGAAAGCTCTGGGATCAGAGACATATCTTAATGTTAAATTTATCTTTGTGACTCTTCATAGAAGATGGAATATTGCCCAGTTTTGTCCTGAACAATTAGCTGGTAAAAACTACAGGTAGGTTGGGGAAACCCTCTTTGATGAGGGTATGCTTTCAATGCCAAATAAATCCTGTATGTATCAATGACAGGCACATTTAGGGAGTATATGTGGCAGAGATCTTATCTGGTACAAAGTACAGGTAGGTGGGAGAAAGCTCTGGGATCAGAGACATATCTTCATGTTAAATTTATCTTGTGGCTCTCCATAGAAGATGGAGTATTACCGACTTATGTCCTGGACTCTAAGCTGGTACAAACTACAGGTAGGTTGGGGAAACCCTCTTTGATGAGGGTATGCTTTCAATGCCAAATAAATCCTGTATGTATCAATGACAGGTACATTTAGGGAGTATATTTGGCAGGGATCTTATCTGGTACAAAGTACAGGTAGGTGGGAGAAAGCTCTGGGATCAGAGACATATCTTCATGTTAAATTTATCTTTGTGACTCTCCATAGAAGATGGAGTATTGCCGAGTTTTGTCCTGAACAATTAGCTGATACAAACTACAGGTAGGTTGGGGAAACCCTCTTTGATGAGGGTATATTTTCAATGCCAAATAAATCCTGCATCTATCAATGACAGTTACATTTAGGGAGTATATTTGGCAGAGATCTTATCTGGTACAAAGTACAGGTAGGTGGGAGAAAGCTCTGGGATCAGAGACATATCTTCATATTAAATTTATCTTGTGACTCTCCATAGAAGATGGAGTATTACCGAGTTTTGTTCTGGACTCTAAGCTGGTATAACCTACAGGTAGGTTGGGGAAACCCTCTTTGATGAGGGTATATTTTCAATACCAAATAAATCCTGTATCGATCAATGACAGGTACATTTAGGGAGTATATGTGGCAGGGATCTTATCTGGTACAAAGTACAGGTAGGTGGGAGAAAGCTCTGGGATCAGAGACATATCTTCATGTTAAATTTATCTTTTGACTCTCCATAGAAGAGGAGCATTACCGAGTTATGTCCTAGACTCTAAGCTGGTACAAACTACAGGTAGGTTGGGGAAACCCTCTTTGATGAGGGTATGTTTTCAATGCCAAATAAATCCTATATGTATCAATGACAGGTACATTTAGGGAGTATATGTGGCAGAGATCTTATCTGGTACAAAGTACAGGTAGGTGGGAGAAAGCTCTGGGATTAGAGACATATCTTCATGTTAAATTTATCTTGTGACTCTCCATAGAAGATGGAGTATTACCGAGTTATGTCCTGGACTCTAAGCTGGTACAAACTACAGGTAGGTTGGGGAAACCCTCTTTGATGGGGGTATATTTTCAATGCCAAATAAATCCTGTATGTATCAATGGCAGGTACATTTAGGGAGTATATTTGGCAGGGATCTTATCTGGTACAAAGTACAGGTAGGTGGGAGAAAGCTCTGGGATCAGAGACATATCTTCATGTTAAATTTATATTGTGATTCTCCATAGAAGATGGAGTATTACCGAGTTATGTCCTAGACTCTAAGCTGGTACAAACTACAGGTAGATTGGGGAAACCCTCTTTGATGAGGGTATATTTTCAATGCCAAATAAATCCTATATGTATCAATGGCAGGTACATTTAGGGAGTATATGTGGCAGGGATCTTATCTGGTACAAAGTACAGGTAGGTGGGAGAAAGCTCTGGGATCAGAGACATATCTTCATGTTAAATTTATCTTGTGGCTCTCCATAGAAGATGGAGTATTACCGAGTTATGTCCTGGACTCTAAGCTGGTACAAACTACAGGTAGGTTGGGGAAACCCTCTTTGATGAGGGTATATTTTCAATGCCAAATAAATCCTGTATGTATCAATGGCAGGTACATTTATGGAGTATATGTGGCAGGGATCTTATCTGGTACAAAGTACAGGTAGGTGGGAGAAAGCTCTGAGATCAGGGACATATTTTCATGTTGAATTTATCTTGTGACTCTCCATAGACGATGGAGTATTATCGAGTTTTGTCCTGGACTCTAAGCTGGTACAAACTACAGGTAGGTTAGGTCTAAATTTGCACCCCTACACCGATAAATGGTGGTGCATGTCTTAATACGAGTGAAAATAATCTCGAAGGGACGTCAAATGCTTCAGGTAGGTTGGGAGAATCATGTATTTATTTTTGACTTTTACAAATGTCAACCTTTTACATGACCCTTTCTAAGACTTCAAAGAACCTTGAATCATATTCAGATACATAAAACGAAAATTGTTGCACAAAAAATTCATGTTGAGACTTTGTTTAATAACATTCTTTACGGGATATATTTCTCTTTGAAGGGGAAGCTGTAAAACAAAGTATTAAAAAGGGACGTTTACATGATACATAAGCACTGTAAAGGGGTGAAGTAAACAGGATTAAAATTTCTTAACACTGTTAAGTGGTCATGACGATTCTATTTTCATAAATTAATTGCTAAAAATATGTATATATTACTATATCGACTGGTCAAATGAGGATCATGGATGTCTTTCAACTTCACAGAAAATTTCTACACCAAACAATTACTTAGACTACAATACATGTGTAAAAATGTAATATAAATAACAAACCAAAATAAAACCTTTCTTTCGTTTTTCATGACATACAATTGCACCATTCTGGTCTTTTTCCGTATTTTTTTTTCGAGGGTAACCCCCCTTCCCCTCAGGAGAAGTGAACCTTCTTATACTGACACTTCTCGCCTGTTGAAGTCTTCGCCTTTACATTATTCTACACATGAATAGAAAGGAATATACGCTTATATATAGGTATGAATACTTTATTAAATTATAAGAAAAAAATCTAACTTACAACTTGAGTCGAAAAAATTGATTAATCTTTAAATTATGGAGTGACATATGATCCACCTGATTAAGAATATATTGTATTCCACGTGTTTAACGCAACTTAAAAGATACCCGATACTGCTTACACGGTGGCTCTCTTCTCAATCCTTAGGTAATGCTATATCAGGGTTGGATTGGGTGAAAAATTGGGGAGGGGATCTTAAGATAGCCTCTAGACATATGTTTTTGTTTTGTTTTGTTTTCTTTTGTTTGTTTGTTTTTTTTGGCAACGATACGTGCCTGTTTCCACTCGATAATACCCCCCCCCCCTCCCGCATTCTCTATTCGCAATGCACATAAACATAAAATTGCATCATTCGAACAACAAATTAATATTGAAAGAAAAATAAATATGATTATATAGTTCAACGACTTTTATTTGAATTGAAATAAATCCACGATTGTCAACAATTTATCAATATTTGATAATTAATTTCGTTTATACATTGTTAATATAGACTGGCATTTCGACTTTTACGCGTACGACTTAATTTATAATTACCCATTGTAAATTAAAAGTGAAATAAATATAATATAAATATATATTTAAGAATATTTCATTTCTTTCCGTATATTTTATCACATGTTGAATATTCCATGTACGAGTGAATAAATCCGCACATATTCACCCTACGTAATCCGCACACTTATGAAAGATAACTCGTGCTCATGAAAGATAACTCGTGTTCGCCTACCTGTACATTGTACCATCTAGCGTTAACCCAATATTTCAGCCATATATCGGCGGTATGAATTTAAATACTGTATGAACGGTTTTGATAGTTTTTGGGTTTCTCTGGCGGCCCCCAATGAGCCTACTCTTTTTCGAAAACCAGAGAAACGATCTTTAGCGTGCCAAGGGGCACCGTTTTACGTCCCATCCGACGGACTTTGAATTTAATACTAAAAGCAGTTAAATTGAAAATTACAAAAATGCTAATAAAAATATATACATTTAAATCTTATTGTAAAAATCAGTTTCTTGCAAGTAGTGTAAAATTGCACTAGGACTTACAATGGTAAAAAAAAAGTCAAGAATAAAATAAGAAAAAACACAAAAAACTGTTAACCCAAAATAATTGATTAAAGACAAAACAAACCAACATACATTTTTGTTTACCTGACTCATTAAGTGTAGGCCAATTTCGAAACAAGCAATTAGGGTAGAACTAAAAAAGTTCTTCATTATCATCCTTGTACCGAAGATCCATTTGTTTGATTATGCCCTAACTATTTGGCCAGTGGCTTCACAATATCCTTGAAATGCAAGTTAATAATAAACAAGTTAAATGTAAAATAATATTAACATAAGAGGGATCATACAAATAAATTTCTTAATTTTTTACAGTTTAATGTTATTACCTCTAAAATGGATGCAAATACATGTTTATGTATATACAGATTACAAAATATATATAGATACAGATTGACTTAGTTCTAACCTATATGTATACGTGTACGCAATTGCGAAAAATAGATATACATTAACGCAAACGATGTACATATCAAATAAGCAAGGGGAATTATATGTATTTTCTTTTGAATATTAATCATTTTGTCTTTTCACATGTTGCTTTACATCTGAGCAAGTACCTTAAGGTAACAGCAGGGACGTAACATTCTTTTGGAAAGTGAGGGGGGGGGACAGCCACAGACAAAAATTCAACTTACCTGAAAAAAATTGAC